TGTATTACTCTTAATATTATCTATTTATTTTTATTATCTTTTTATGTTTTGTTGTTAAATGACGCTTAATAATTTAATATAATTTTTAACAATTATATAAAATATAAATTTTTTTAATATAGAATTTGTACTATATTTAATGAGTGTAACAAGATTTATAGAACTTCAATAATTAGATTAAGTTTATGCATATGCAATTATAAAAAATAATTATACAGCTATAAGAAATAAAGATAAAATTTTTTTGTATTGAATTTGTTCAAATGAAGATATCTTAAAGAAAAGTAGATTTAAATTAATTGCTATTTTTATTTATTTTTTAAATATACGTTTTGTATTTGTGATTACATTGATATGCACATTGAGTTAAACATGAGTAATTTGCGGGCATCCTACTAATTTTATGCGACACACGCGTCGGAACTTTTACAAAGCTTTCGAAAAAGAGATTGATGTGAGGGGAAAGGTTTTGGTGGGAAGTAGCCATGCTAGCTTAATGGACAGAAATTTTTCCAAATTTAACGATCGCTTAGCCCGCCCACACAGAACGTTGTAATAAGTTTGGCGTCTGTGCGATGGCCGTCACCGTGACGAGCACATGTGTAACTCGCCTTCTGTCATTCAAAAGTGAAACTCCGTTCAGTTTATTCAGTTCGCTTGACAAGAATCTTGCAAAGTGAGCTTTCAGTTGCATCCACGATGTTATATGTTTAGATATAATAAAATAATGAGAGTTAGTTTAGAAAATTTTCTTATTGATCATACACTGTAAAATTTATGATACATATTAACCATCTATAATGTAATTTTATCATTTAATAATTTATCATGCTATTTCTTTAATGTAACTTTTTTTAAATGTTACTTATATTAAAGTATTTATTTTTTTAAGTCAAGTGCTTAACTGACTGATACTGATTCAGATCAGATATTGATTCATAATATTGTGACATAATATAACACATAATTTTCTTTGTGTTACAGGTGCGGCGTAACTTCGATTATAGGGTGGACAGAGGAACGAAACAGGTCTGGAGTGGCTTGGCGCTTTGAACGAAGGTGTCACACCGGGGAAGACGAAGGACTTTGATTATTATCTTCTGCCATCACCTCGTGTATACGCGGTATACTCTCCCCTTTCTCCACTTGCTAATTGGAAAGGTTCTGTAGTGCTCCAGTTTATAATTTTGTTCTCTTTCGGTAGTGAGCTCAGTGTGATAAAAAGTCAAATGATGTACATGTGATCCAAGATGATGGTAATTTGATATATATATATGTGTGTGTGTGTGTGTGCGCTTGTGCTGCTCAAGAGTGTGTGACATGACAAAGATCGAGTGAAAAATATTCGCGAAGAAATGCAATTCCGAAGTGATAAATCTGTATCTATGTAAAGACGTGTGCCAGTGTGTCCGCACAGGAAGAGTACAAAACAAAGTAAATTTACGAAGAGAAAGGAATAGAGAAAAGAATCATAGATCAGCCGAAGATAACCAAAGGAAAGTCAGCAACGTAGAGAAGTGACATTAGAAGGTGGGACCGGTGGGACAGTAGCATGAGTTCGTACTTTGCGAATTCGTATATCCCGGACCTGCGAAATGGCGGGGTGGAACACCCGCATCAGCATCAGCAGCACTACGGTGCGGCCGTACAGGTACCTCAGCAGACACAATCGGTTCAGCAACAATCTCAGCAAGCCGGTGACCCCTGCGACCCGAGTTTGTTACGTCAAGGAGTATCCGCCCATCATTATGGAACCACGGGAGGTCAACAGGACATGCCTTATCCGAGGTTTCCCCCTTATAATCGGATCGACATGCGAAACGCGGCCTACTATCAGCATCAACAGGAACACGGAAGTATGGACGGCATGGCTGGTTATAGGTCGACATCTCCAAATACCGGTATGGGTCACATCGGACACACACCTACCCCCAATGGACATCCGTCCACTCCTATCGTCTATGCCAGTTGCAAACTTCAAGCGGCTGCTGTCGATCATCAAGGCAGCGTTCTCGACGGACCGGATAGTCCGCCTCTCGTCGAATCGCAGATGCATCATCAAATGCATAGCCAGCATCCGCATATGCAAACGCAGCAATCGCAGCATCCCCAACAGCAATCACAACATCAGCATCTGCAGGCACAGCAGCAACATATGATGTACCAACAGCAACAGCAATCTCAAACCGCATCGCAACAGGGACAAGGTGGAATGCACCCGCAGCAGCAACAGCAAGCTCAGCAACATCAAGGCGTCGTTGCATCGTCGCTCAGTCAACAACAACAAGGTGCGCCTCAGGGTGCGGCAACTGCGAATTTACCAAGCCCATTATATCCTTGGATGAGGAGTCAGTTTGGTAAGTGTAACACACTTTTATAAAATATATATAATTACAATACGCTTTCTTTTTTGAAAATTCAAATTATTTATAACACTGACATTTATGAATCAGCAATTAATACAATGATATCTGTTGAGAAATAAAGCATATCATAATGTAAATTATATACATCAAGCTTATGATTTATTAAAATTTTAGATCTGAGAATTCTGTATAGAATATGGTTAGTTTTAATACATTAAAATTTATCCAAAACTATTTTTATAGGCGCCTATCCTTGTGAATTAAATACAAAACACGTGTGACATCATTTTTAAAAATAAAATCAAGGTTTTGCTACGTGACCAAGAATCTTGTAGAAAGCTAAGTTTCTAGCAAATAGTTTCTCAGAATTTATGCAACGGAACACAAAACTCTCTTCTCTAAAGCAAATTCGTACGGTAGCCGACTCAGGATTGGCACAATGTCTCTAGATATATTGTGAACGGAGTTATTTATTGCGTTGACCTGTTGAGCCTGTCTGTTAGTTTTACTATTCGTTCATCAGGTCACAATAAGCGGTATCTCTTTCCACACGCAGATTGCGTTTAAAATCTCAAAATTGACATGTTTAAATTTATTAATTTGTAGCAGTGTAATTTATCTCACTAGTTTAATCGATCGCATTTTTGTCATCACATTTCAAATACGACATCTTAACAACGATTTTAAAATAACGAAGTTTTTATGAATAATTTAAAATTATTTCAAGATTAATTATATACTTTTACTTAATCATATAATATTTGTATAATTAAATAATGTATAATTAAATAATGTGCTTTGACAATATTTGTGGCTAATTTGACAAATCTATTCGCATTTTTCACAGTATACAACACTTTTTGAGTAATATGTTCATTTATAGTCCATTTATAAAAAAATAACAATAAGGTTATATCATCATTTAGGTAGAAAAAATTTTGAATGCAGACAGTTGAATAAATTATAGAATCGTACTAACCGAACTATTTTACCTTCTTTCTTTATTGATTCACAATTCGATTCATCCGCAAAAGAATGATATTTCTGTATTATTTCATCTTGTAAGGTAACATTTACTTGAGACAAAGAACATTAATGAATCACTTTTAGCTTTTTATTTTTTTTTTTCTTTTATTCTTTAATCGCTTGTCGTTTCTCTTAGAAACAGTTTTTCTCATATCTTTTTCGAGAATATAGATCGTTTAATGAATGATATAATTAATTTTTTTATATAATTTATATAATAATTAATTTTTATGTAACTATATTTTTATGTAACTATATTATTTTTATTTTTTAGATCGCATTCTAGAAATAGCAAGAAATAAAGAAATCAAAGCAAACTTAACATTTCTTCTGTACGTTAGCGATCGATATTCAGTTGTGCCATTACTAGCATACATTTCCATCTTAATATTTCTTCTTTTTTATAAGTTATAATTTTTCTATTCTACATATAGCATATTAAAAAAAAATTATTTTAATTAAATATTATTAAAAATTAATAAAATATTACTATTTTTAAAACATATTTCTAAGAACATAAAAATACTAAAAACTTATTAAATATAAATTATTTATAGTAGTATTTTGATATTATTTAATATATAATACAAATGTTTTTTTATTATTACGATTATCTTTATTCGTTTCTTATTTATTCTTAGATATATTTGATTTCTCTACATACATATTTCTGTTTTTATAGTATAATTTTTGTAATATGATATGAACAAAAAGATTATATATATTTTTTTAAATCATTCAAAGATGAGAGAGAGAGAGAGAGAGAGAGAGAGAGAGAGAGAGAGACGTACTTTACAA